TTCGTCGTTTGTAGCAACACCAATAGGCGATTAGAACAATGAGGAGGAACACCAGGACAGCAGAGGACACAGTGACGTAGAGCCAGAGGCTGTCCACTGCAACCATCATATGATGAATTTAACGTTACAAAGGTACAAATTTTTGTTCACATTCTTTAGTGGTACTACATAGTAAAACCCTTTTACGTAATGAAACAGACTCAGGCAAAGGCTGAAAAGTAAAGTTCGCCCGTAAAAAGCAAAGGGCCTAATTCAATGAGATGACATTTATTCTGTAGGAACAAAAACCTCTGAAATGGTATGAAAATTAATGGGACTGAAAGGAAAATTATGTAATTATGGCAAAACATACAAAGAACTTAATTTATGAATGTATTTGGGCACTTAACCTTTGTGGTGTGGGGACTTCAAATTCATTTGCATAGCCTCAAAGACAGATTGAATTGGTATTTAAATGATTTGAAGCGGAGGCAGAATCACAAAATAAACTGTAGCCTAAGATTGTACAGGAGTCTAATGTTGTGAAATAGAGTTTAGATGTTTATTAACTCCATCTTTACACAAAATACAAGTATTCTTTCCTGTACTCTTTACGTAACACTATGTTTCAGGCTGATAAGCCCATCTTTAGATTTAAATCAAATGATTGATCATAATAAAGACCTACACTGTAACACGCACATAACAAATTAATCCATGCCCTACAGCGAAACATTCTGTAGAAAGGATTTCATGAAAATCAACATCAGACCTGCTTCAAAGTCACCTGAAGATTGGCTCATCAGCCCAATATATGAAGACACATAAAAGAATACTTGTGTGTTGTGTAAAGACAACATTTAAACAAGTCGCCCGATTTCCTGCATTTTTTTAAAGTAGAATAAATTAATGTGCTTCTCCTAGTAAGAAGTTTTTAGCAGAAGATCCCTTAAAAATAATCTTAACGAGGCTATACCGCAATCTGCTCGTCTGTCATCCTCATATACGAGTCCCACAAGAACGTCCATTATCGCATTTCTCAATTACCATATCTTACCACATTTCGGAACATCACATTTCTCCCTCTGGTTATACTCCGTATAACACCAAGGCTCGTCTTCCATTTCTCCCGGATTTCGGCAGAAGCTGTGACCCCCTGCAAGCTCCGGATAGTCCGAAGTCTTGACGTAGAACTGGTGACTCCACGGCATGCATTTATTGCGAGAGTGCGTCATGTGTGCCATTCCTCTGTACGACTGGCCCATTCCAGTGTAACACAACTCGTCTGTTAAGAGGACATATTGAACTAAAAACAATTACAAATAAAGTGACACATTACTACGACACTTATAAACTATTCACAAAAAAGTTATTAATTATAAATTTATTTATAGGATATTTAATTACACTTTCAGTATCTAGGCTATATAGCGTAAGTTCAGAGGATGACAGTGAGTGAATAATTGGACAGGATGTGGAAGGAAGCGGTCGCGGCCTAATTCAAGGTACTATCCTGACATTTGCTTTGAAATCCTAAGGAAAACCATAAAGAATTACCTGGCTCAACATTCTCAGGCCTTGGAATCCCAAGTTTGAGGCAATTCTCACTGTCAGGAGAGCCAATCGCAGGAAGATCCCCACACTCAGGTAGCGCCAACTGTTGACCAATTAAGGGGTGCCTCTTTGCAATAGCGTACTCCATACGGCACATTTCATTCTCCAAGATCTCGCAATCGTCTCGACAGATCCTACGAGGCTCTCTCGACGCTACTTTGCTCCAGTGTTCCGACGAACCAGACGGATCAACGTCCTCTTCACGGCAAAGTGCGAAAGTTGAGTAGCACAAGGATGGCACAGCAAAGGAATCACAACTCGGAGAAAGATCCCTAGGAAAAACAGAACATTTAAATGAACAATTCTGAACAAAATAAAGATAATTCCAACGTACGTATGAATCGAGCATCGATTCTGAAGATTCCTATGCATTGTATACAGTTTTTTGAGACAAAGTGAGAAGAAAAGATATTTTATCCTCTAAAATATTGGCTGTAGGCATACACTGCAGAAGTTTCTAAGACAAAAATTGTAAATTTCGAGAAAATGATAAATTTTTTAAAGCATGACACTAATTTTTCCACAGCAAATATGAATCTACACAGGAAGAGTCATATTTATAACGTGTATTTAAAGGGTTCTGAACAAAGTGCGATGTGCTCACGGAACCTACGTGGAATGGGCGATGACCATGAACGCAGCAGCGAGCTTTTCTTCAAGTAATTTCTGTGTCATCCTCGGAGGTACAAAGATCGTTCTGTTGCCAACAAAACCGAAGCACTTCGTACCTCGGTACACCTGCATACAAAGGATTCACAAAAATTATTTTTTTATCAAAGTGACATAACAGGATGCATCAATTAAAGTTTACCAAACACCTGCTATCATATCAGCCACTACATCGGACAGGTCACACTAGTTATTCGTCCTTCCTGTAATCTTACTATGACATAATTATGTTACATTTTTAAGTACTTTTTTTAATGCAACCACAAACCTGGCAAAGTCCTTCCTTCTGTAACACATCAGCATTATCTGTGCCTGATGAGACAACAGGGTCTGTTGAACTGCCATAACCTGTTCCAGGTTGTAAACCATGCCCCGGCTGGAAAGTGTGGGGTCCTGAAGGAGGCGACAGTATGGGACCTAAACCATTATTACCATGAGGGACTGAACCACCCAAATTCACATCAGCATTACCAACCCTGAAAAATAAATATTGTACATTCCATTTTATTGTGCACAAATCAACATTTGCTTGAAAATCTGATGCAGTATACATGTCACACTTTGAAAAACAAAAGGTTTAGGCCTGATCCCCAATAAAATTTTCTCGAGTGATAAAGAAATTTCCATTTTCGTACAATTCAACTGCATAACCTACGCCAATGTTAATGAACTTGTTTAATCCTTCAATCTTCCGATTCATTCCAAAATATGACGTCAATATTACGAAGAGGTTAGAAACTTTTAACAGCACGTTGTAATTCATAATCGCAATGTACAGAAATATTATCTTCAAACGTACAGCCGGTTAGGTTAACTACGCTCTACATGAAACAAGGTTCTTTCACCTTCGAAAACAAATTGTGACACATACATTAGCAGCAATTTGTTTGCATACTCAGTTTCATTTGTTTCCGGCTCCTCTTTGTTGCCGCTCACAAACACCAACGAAAATAAATTAAAATAAATTAAATATATGAACTGCATATTATTATAACTATATCAGCATTGCTATATATTGGGTGATTTATTTCCTCACCACACCCCTTCACTCATAAACAACACATGGAACTTCCATTATCGACAAGACGAACGAACAGATAAACATAGACCGGCGAAAATTGTACCCGCCATCTTCTATCAACACGAAGAGACTCTAAATCCAGGCTGTCGATTAATGTTAGCTCATTTGTGTAGATGTCAGCTCTGAACACTAAAATTGATCACTACGAGCATAGATGAGCGTTTTTCGTAATGTTAATGCACTGTTAACAGAAAAATAATGTGATATTGAATGAAATAATAACATATGAAGAAGGAAAATATAAACAAATGTTTATGTTTGGTAAATTATTTAACTCTTATTTTTGTCTCTTGCAACAGCTGACGAAGCCATACAAAAGCATATGATTGAAATAAAATACAGTATTAACTTACCCATCTAATAATCCTGGGAAATTGGGGAAAACTGGTGAGAAATTAGGAATATCAGCAGGAGCATTGATCCGTCCTGTGAAAGAAGAGAGCATCATTATCATGGCTGCCTGTCAACTGTTTATCTGTAGCAGCAGTTTGTTGCAGTTCTTCATTTATAATCACTCTTATCTCTGTCAACATCATATATTGTTACTGTTCGTATGCATATAAATGAGTTTTACCTAACATTCGTGAAGAATGAAAATTCAAATATCCATACAAGTTGAAAAAATTTCTATCACAAAATGATCTCTGACAAATTTCTCAGACAAGAAATATTGTGATTTCAAGTTTCTCAAACGCTTTTTATACTTTGAAATAACATCATTTCTGCCCACATGTATGTAGTGAACTGTTTTTAATGGAATTTCTGTCTCTGCATGATATGAATTTGAATTAGACTATGAGTATCTGTACTTACCCCAGCGATTCATCTTAACTAACAGGATTCCTGTAGAATCCATCTTGTGTACTCCATTACTAGCTTCACATTTGTAGTACCCTGTATCGTGTGTATCTAGATGTGCAATCCTAAGGCGTGAACCCAAGACATTCTGGCCCTGATGACTCTACAAGAAAATATGGAGCATGTTATTACTGACATCAGTGATGATGAAGCCAGTAAACACGTTCGAGATGTTGGAAAAAAAAAATTGAATGAACTGTGAAAGTCTGTTCTAGAGCAGTAGTTTTCAAATCGTTAAAATTATAATAAATAAAACAACGCCCAGAAAAATAACAAAATTCTCTGGACTTTTATAAAGACGTTTGTGAGCTAGATCACAAAGTTCGACAGAAATTCCACAGATGGCACCTCTGTGAGGTCACTCATCTAAATCACGTGAATACAGAGATTGCGCACAAGCTGTCTTGTCAGAAAGTAAACATATCGTAATGAATAAAAACTGAGAACAAATGAAAAATTTACGAGCAACATGAGCTACTGTTCTTAGAATAAAAAGCTGTTTAGTTGAGTTATTACCTGTGAATTATATCGCCTTAATACAATACGGCCTTTCTCTTCGATAACGGGAGCTTCATTCTTGAACCATCGGATTTTTGTTGGTGGTGGATCTCCAGTAACTTCACATTTCAACTTCACTGATTCTCCAGCTTCTTTGGTGATGTTGCCAAATATCTTTAGGAATCGTAACGACCCTGTCAAGCGTAGGACACATTAAAACAAATTTAATTGTTATTGTGTCCTACCAAATGTGTCAAAATAGCAAGCAAGCAAAGGAGAGAAATTATAGTACGTAAAAGTAAAGCAGTCCCATTATAAGCCACGTAGTCAAGGAGCTGTTACGTACAGCCACAAAAATGTAAATAGTGAATGCTTTGTACCTGCTTTGTCAGGTGGCAGTGTGGTCGCGGTTCCAAGATCTTCAGAGTCAGTTCTGGAATAATAAAAAGAAAATCTATATTTATATTATCCACAGATAATATTCACTCTCTTTTTTTATTATGTTAAAATTTAAAGCATTGTAACAATTATGTACAAGGCAGGAACAGCCCATGACAAATAATATATGCATTTGTTAGAATCATAAAATGTCTGATCTTCCAACCTCTGATATAATATGATAAAATTTTCATTTTGTGTAACATACAAATTTAGTAAAAGTCTAATGTTAGGTTAGGTGCAGTTATAATAAAGCATCATAATAAAAACACAGAAATAAATGATTATAAACAGTGGAAGAGGAAATATAAAAGACAATAAGAAAGAGATAAGGTAAAATTGAAGAAGAAGAAGACGACGACGACGACGACGACGAAGAAGAAGAAGAAGACGACGACGAAGGAGAAGACGACGAAGAATAAGAAGACGAAGGCGACGAAGAAGACGACGACGAAGAAGAAGAAGACGACGACGAAGGAGAAGACGACGAAGAAGAAGACGACGAAGAATAAGAAGAAGTAGTAGTAGTGGTGGTCATGACCTATTTAAGACACCATTCAACATTTTCCTATAGTGGGTGTGGGAAAATATGTAAACGTTGAATTACCAGTCTCCAGGTCAAGGTTCGATCCGAGAACTTCCAAGTACGAAGCCACAACATTTGATAAAAGATAAATAAAGGAAAACAGCGAGAATAGAAAATGGTAAACAACACAAACGATTTGTCGAAACAAAATCCCAGGGTCTCTTTTAAAATTCGCTACATATTTAATCCACAAAAATGCAACCACTAAATGTTATAACAATTTATTCAACCCCGACAGTACCGAAATATGTTGACACAAGACCAAATATCCGTAGCATGAAATACATATTCATTACGTAACTGATGAGTTAAAACCCTTTAGGATTATCGTTCCAAGTGTTTAACCTATTCGGGCGAATAACCACACGAACAATACAAAAGGAAGGGCTTTAAACACCTCTAATAGGATAATCCTACGTTTGTGCTTGGAATAAATTCTATTAAGCAGCTGTTGCGAGGGCTTTATTTTACAGTGTACACAGGGGGAGGGTAGAAGCCGTCTGCAGAATACAATGTATGCAAGGGTTGCAAATAGGGTAGGGAAATGTTTAATAAATAATATTCTTGCTGACAAAAAATATTAACGTTAGACTACTCAGGCTTATCTACACTTAAATTGAAAGATTTGAATGAACAATAATAATACAAATAATGTCGACGTAAAAGATTCTCTTTAAAAAAAAATAAAAATTGCGATAATTAAATTTTAATCTGCAATAATTTCACTATAAAACATTTACAAAATATGTTTCACTCACGACCAATACGCAAATCTCGCCTGAGAGGAATTGTTCCCCTTCAAATTATTGGACAATTAGCCGCTGATCGGATTACAAAATTACCAGCGCTTCTACTATGAAACGTTAAATATATATAACGAAGAAAAATAAATAATTGTATTTAGCCACATTATTCCTGTCGAGTTATTTACATTCGACGAGGAAAGCGTTAATTCCTTAATTTATTTTGTGTCTAGCGGTTAGAACGCTGGCTTTGTAATCGCAATGTCAAACCACTTCTGGATCATCTGCCAAGAACGTATATGAACAGGTCCCAGTCCGAGAAAAGGATGGAAGGATCCTGTTCATATGGACCTGTCGTCAGACAGAACACTAAATAAAATAAAAATATAAATAAATAATCCTTTATCTAGCTTAAAGAGAAAAGCGAAATAAATATAAGATTACTTAGCGAGATTTTAGGTTCTCCAGCTACAATTATGAAAATAAAATATCTTCAGGATTGTTGCGCCGTGTAATCTGGTAGAAGTTCACCGATAATTCAGAAGAACTTGCTGCCTCCATCATCAGGATACATCCATCTTAAAAAGTGTTAATCATTCAACTGCGACGTTCTGTACACAAACGCCTGAATATTAATATGTTGGATGTATTGATATTGAATAACTAAGTATTCCTCGCCATTATCTGAAAGTTGAAGAGCGGACGTAACACACGCTTTAACTGCACGTGGACACTAGGACAATCCCACGGGGCCCAAAAATATCTTTAGTCACTCATCCCTGCACCCTAGTCGATAGTTCATCATCAAATCTCCTTCCCCCTCACAAAACTCGGTTTTTCCAGAGTGGAGGAGGTTCGTTCAACAGGACAATAGACGAACGAAAAGAAAAAAAACATTTTATTGAAAAGTGTCATAACTCACACTTAGTAGGGTGTCGTTACTGAAATTATAAGGACGGTAACCTGGTCATCTTATTCTGAAAACTTGACTTTCCTTTACTTATCCGTCGGAAAGAGGTTTTAAAAAAGCATTACACCCGACTTACTCAGATATTTTGATCGCTTCGAATCTGATTACAGCATTTCCAGAAGTCACAAGTCTTATACACGAGAGTTTTCCTCAATTTATTCTGGAAAAAATGTCAAGACATTACCTCAAAACAGAAGACGACCACATTGCTTATTTGTTCGAAACAGAAGCCGACCACATTGCTTATTTGTCCGAAAGTACGTGATCTCGATTGGGCAATGGAGCGACCATAAAGACGCGAATGAACTCGACTATTAGCCTTAGTTGCTTCAGCGGCTAAGAGATGTCGCAGCGAGTATACCGAACAGCTTTAGCAATGCAAACTACAGAAGAGACATTTTCACCTTCGAAACTGAAGTTGCAATGTGTTTCAAAACTACAAATTAACATAATTTTTTTTTAATTTTCTGCATTACAATTGCTCAGTCTCCACTTTTTTGGTTAGTGCCTTTAAATTTCTCGTTTTTCCGTTGCCGTGTGTTATGATTTTACGAAATTTCAGTGCGATTTTCTGCAGTCTTTTGTTTTACTTAAACTTTGTTAGTTCCAAAATATTCCACGCCATTTTGTTGTCACTGTTAACGTATATTCTTTCCCTCAGACTTGAAAAAGCTGTGTAATAGACATCATCACGTGAAATTGTATCTTGATGACGTGAAATATATAATCTTATTCGTATGTTTTAGAGATCACAGATCCAAATATGGATTTTCACAGGATACAGTATCCAGATACGGCGCACAAGAAGAGTTGCATCCATTATGCACTTACTTCGCCCATGGGGCGGCAGAGAGCGTTCAAGAATGTGTTCAAGTGTAGGGGGGGGGGGGGGGGACGAGAGACTCACTCCCTCGGTACAAGTGTCATCATGGGAAATGCAACAGTTGTCGCCCGCACTTCGTACAACAAAAGACGACGCGACGTTTCTATACAATGGACAGTCCCCGTACAAGAGAGAACATTAAGTTAACTTCTTTACTCCGATTTCAGGCAAATGGCGGGGTCAGAGGTGAAGCCCTAAATAAAGGCAAAGGTTGTGATAACGTGGTGTTGAGGATTGTAGGACACTTCACACAATGGATTAATAGCGGAATTACGACTGGTAGGGTAGGGAGAATTACGTAGACGAACAGCTAATCCAAAAAAACCTTCTCCTGTGTCGAAGGAAACACACAATTCCTCTGTTAATAAATATTAGATCGTTAATGTCATCTATTGAAATAATTGATACGTAATATATTCTGACAGACGTACATAAATTTAGCGAGCAAAATATGAGTTTTTGTGTGTCGAAAAAAAGGTCTATAATCAAGAAAACGATATATAAATTTATATAAAAATAATACGATATTCTGACATGGTACGAGACGACAAAGTCTGATTTTGTGTTCACCTTTTAGAGGCGACATAAAAGAAATTTCATTTCTGAACATAAACACTGTTATTAAAACAAATTATTTGACGTGTACCACCCCTGTTTTTGAGATATCACGACATGCGACGCCCTGAAAAAGGTCATTATCCAAAATGCCTAAAATTAATACACAAAATAATTCTAAGAGAAAAATTTACGAATTTTCGGCTCGTAAGACCAATTAATTTTCTTCATAATATTTCGAAGACTTTCTTTTTTTGTTATTATCCAGATTTTTTTACCTCAACAGGAAGAATATTTTGAACAAATTATTTTTCTTCCAAAAATGTGGCCTGAAGGGTGGAGGGTGTGTTGACACACGATTTCCATTCCGGCAGCGATAACTGCTCTGGCAGATTAAAGCGCCAACATCCTCCATGTCAACAACATCAGTTCCTTTGTTCCGTCCGTTCCTGCATGATGTTCTTTTATCGATGTCATGGCCTCTCCAGAGACGCGACCAGAACTACAACATTAACTTGGAAGAATGGCCGAAGTATAATCAGGATTAAAGGCAGTATATTAATAAGATGGAATGTTTTTGTTTTTTTTTTGCAAAACTTTACGTTCTGCGGACGGCACAATAAATGCATAGTGAAACACTTTGTCCTATCAGAAGCCAGTGAAATCAGCCCACTTTCAAATATAGGTCATTCATGTTGCTGTGGTTATCATCAAATGAGTTCTGTAATAGGTCCCACTGAAATACGATCAAGCTAGTTGATTGCTAACGCTGGTCTTGTAATCCTGGGGTCTCGGGTTCGATTCCTGGCGGTGCTCGAATTTATAACTTGTGTTGGGCAAGGCCTTGGTCTAGGCAACACGGAGTTTTCCTCCGGGGTCTTCCCCGGTTTCTCCGTGGCATCCCATTCACACACAGAAGATGGCAATGGCAAACCACTTCTGGATCATCTGCCAAGAACGTATATGAACAGGTCCCAGTCCGAGAAAAGGATGGAAGGATCCTGTTCATATGGACCTGTCGTCAGACAGAACACTAAATAAATAAAAAAAAATACGGGATTAAAAATAAATAATTATTTGTCATTTAAATTACTGGATATTTGAACGCGACTGCATCCTACCTCCAACCATAGCCCACCGATTCCTGATCGCATTCATCTCTGCCAATCCAAATTAAGACAGAGTTTGTTTTGAAGAACAAAAAAGGAACATTTTATTTAATCATCTGGAATAAATTTTGATTTTCGCCCCTGCGTAA